CAGCCGCACCTTGCTGGTGGTCACCGAAATCCCGCAGCAGCAGCAGCTCCCGGGGCCTGCCCGGGGGGATCCCCGAGCACAAGGAGAGGAGCCCGGGGCACAGCCGCCCAGCTCCACCCCGGCTCCTCCAGCAGCCGGGCAGCACGGGCCGGCTCCCGGGGCTCTTTGTGCCACCAGGGCTCGAAGGAGGGGGGGCGAACAAAGCTTCCCCTCCTCCGCCCCCCGGGCTCGGCTCCACCCGGGAACCGGCAGCGAACCCCGGGGGGGGGCAGCGGGCGAGGCCGGGCCCTGCCGGCTGCGGGCACCGCGCCCCCGAGTGCGCACAAAGGAGGCGGCGGCGGAGCGCGGACACCTCCGAACCCCCCCCCCGGATCCCCCGGATCCCCCCTACCCGCCCGCATCCCTCCCCCCGCAGCCCCCCGGAGCCCAGCGGAGCCCCCCGGGCCCTACCTGGCGGCGGTGAACGCGGGGCAGGGCCGGGCCGGGCCCCCGCTGCTCCTCCTCCTCCTCCTCCTCCTCCTCCTGCTCCTGCCTCCGCCGCGCTGAGCGGGGCGGGCGCTGACCCGGAAACAACCGGCGGGGCCCGGCCCCGGTGGGCTCCGCCCCATGGCAGGGAAGCGGCGGGGCCGGGCCGGGCCGCAGCGCTTCCGGGCCGGGCCCCGCATGGCGACGCCGCGCGGTTGCTATGCGGAAGCTGCCGGCCCCCAGCGGGCTCCCCCCGTCCCCTCCCTGCTCCTTGCAGCCCATCCACGCTCTCCCAGCTGTGGTTGTTTCTCAAGATCAGGGCTCCGAGAAGCAGCCCGGGCTCTCTGGAGAGCACTCCCCGTGTCGGGGATGAGAACGGCTCCTTCCCGTGCCGGGTTTGGGAAAGCCGCAGCGATTTTAGGCAGCAAAATGGGGGATTTTGGTGGCAGCGTTACCTGCTGTGAAATGCCGAGCCTCAGGAAGCAACCAGCAGCTCCGCACCCTGCTGCTCACACGTCCCGCACGGATCTGCTTTCCTAAGTGCCTTCAGGTCCCTTCCCAGCACGGGCACCTTTTTGGTACAGAAAAGGGCAAAATGCGCGCTGCCCCAACCGCTGGCACGGCCCCGTACCTGATAGCTGGAGGTGCTGCTGACATCTATTGTCAGCGCGGGGTATTTCTTTCTTGTTTTCTTTGTGGATGTTCGTACGTGCGTTAATTAGATTAATAAATCAGCCGGTGCTGGGACGCAGTGATTGGTTTTACATTTGCTGGCATTTCCCTGCTTGCTCCTATTTTATTAGCTAAATCTTTGAACCTCCTTACGCAGGGCACTCAGACCACTGGATTTTAGCTGGTTTTGTGTTTTCCTCCTTCCCCATTAAAAAAGTAGCAGCGTTCATCTGGATTTAAACAAGAGAGTATTGCTATCAAGTAATCCTTTAAACTAAAAGAATTGAGAAGTGGCCTCAGGAACCCGAAACTCAAAAGTGAATACTACCTCACAGTAATAGTAGCAATAATAACACTCGATTTGCAGCTGATGGTTCTTCCTGAGAAGTTCTCTAGAAAATAGTGTTTGCCCCAAAGTGCTGGAAGTCCCACCGCACGGGGGAATCTGTCGTGTGGTGCAGTGACACAAAGCACAGGCACGCAGCCAGTTTATCCTCATCTTGAATTTGTTTTCAACACCACACGATTTCAGCTCTTCAATGACCTGTACGTCAGAGCAACCCAGAGGCTGCGCTACTCTTCCCCTGGGACAAACATTAGAACAACACAGTTGGTTCTTAATTCAACCTCACCTTTAACGTCCAGCAGGCCAAACAGCTTGTGAGGGGTGGGAAGGATCCTCTTTCCTCTCAGCAGAGAGAGGACCGGGCTCCTCGCACCAGCACGCTGCAATATCCCACTCTAATTAAGAGTCACATCCAATTTTGAGCTCAGAACCTTTTGCAGTAATTTATTTTTCTTTAAAACAGATGAGTACTTGGTGTCTCCCTCCAGTGAAGTGATCTGAAGCTCTTGCCCCATCCCCAAGCCCGTCTTTTCAGCCTGCTGCTCCCTGGGATGTGCACACACTGTGTTTGTGTACCGGGATGCGGTAAAAGATGTTAGCAAGTGACAACTCCCCTTACACCTCACCTTTTTTGTGTCCCATTCCGAATCCAGCTTTCCCCTATTCTGAAAAAGAGGTTGTCATTAACAATTTCTAATTCAATAAAGACATGACAGATGGACTTTCAGAATGCTTCTGTGTATTAGAAAATCAGAGGTTTGCGTTTTAAAAACAGAAGCAGCATGATCATGCAAGTCTCAGACAAGCAAAAAGCAATTAAAAGATAAGTGCAGGAGTCACTGAGGAAGTCAAGGAAGCAAGGTAAAAATTAAAGCAGTGACTCATTCTGAATGCTAAGCTTCAAAAACATATATTAATTTCACAATAATTTTACCGCAATTTTCTTGTGCTCTGTAAAACTTATACTTTTGGTTCTGTTCAACAGCTGGACATAAGCCACAACAACTCTGAAGTTTAATAACAAATGTAAATAACTTTTTTTTTTTTTTAATACATAAACATACAGAGGGCGCGATGTGTTATTGAAGTCAGGGTCAGATCACGCCTGCTCTTCTTCAGAGGACGTGCCATCTTCTGCAGGGTCCAGTGGCAGGGGGTGAGCTCTGTAAGAAGTGTTAGCAATGCAAGAGTTAGCAGGACTTGACCAGCAGCTGCTTGCAAGGCTCCAATAATGATAAAAAAAAAAAAGTTGCAGAATTGAGTAAGTACAGCTCCTGCTTCTTCCAGAATGCCCTGGGAGGATGTACATTGTTTTAGAAGGGCACTGAGTGTTCTCTGTAGTGTTTTCAGCACCCAGTCCTAACTCAGGCAAACAAATTGCAAGTGGAAGAGGAGAAGGCTTTGGAGCACTAGAGCACAAGCATCTTTAATTTCTCCAAGAGGTAGGAAGCAATTAAAAGTCTTTCTGTTCGTTTGCTTTGCGGGGCCTTCGAGATAATTTGGGAAAGCTTCCTACAGGGCTTCCCTAACAGCTTAGGGTTATCTGTATTTGCGAAACACTCATTCTTTGAGAAGAGAACAGAGATATTGCCTTAAAGAATGTTTCACACCGTTACCTCTTTAGTCAGTAGCACTGACTACAAGTTGATCTTTGAAGTGTCAGCTAGGTACAGCAATTGTTTCAGAAACACAGAACTTGCTGGCAGTCCCCAAAGCTTTTCTGAAACAGGGCTGACAGCTCCGGAGACTCGCGCTGCTGCTGCCTTCATGCAAACACAGCCTGTCTGAGCACAGAGAATTTGCCTCAACTACCAATTACCGCACCCATTTTTAGGCACCCCCCGAGATTGTTGGATACCGAAGCTGAGTTTCACCAGAAGAGACTGTTCATAGCGAGACATTATTCCTCTGAGGATACGAAGGTCCGGCCGGCTGGGTCAGAGCTCTGCAGGAGGACCGAACCCTGGCCATGTGTGGGGTGCGGGTGGGCACCCACCTTCTCCTGCCGGGGCAGTGTGCCCCTGGCCCCTCTCCCTTCACAGCCAAGAGCACTGCCGAAAGCCTCCTGTGCTTGCCGCAGCTGTTTGCTGGGCCTCTTGGCCAAGCCGAGCAGCCCCAATAGGTCCCCGGGCAGGAGGTGGCAGCCAGCTCTCCTCAGGGCTGCCCCTCCACTGAGGCACAGCCTGGGAGTTGAGGCTAAGTGCTGCCTTGCACAGCTGCCCCCGTGCTGGAGCAGATTTAGGGCACGCTGCCCTCTGTCCCGGCTCCTCGCACTTCTGGCAGCTCAGCTCCATCCCAGAGGCAGCATCAGCCTCTCCTGCTCCGCGGGCACTTCCCTTCCTCCCTGTCACTTAATTTAAGGGCACAATCACGCTCTCACAGTTGTTTCCCAGCCTGTGCTTGGCTCGGAGCAATGATGCTATTGTTTCTCTGTGGGAGGTGTCTGACAGGAATCGTTATTTTTCCAACCAAACGCAAACTTTTTTCCACCTTTTTTTTTTTTTTTTTTTTTTTTTTTTTTTTTAACAGTGCAAATCTGGATGAACTGACAGAGGAGAAGGAGTGACACTGCTCCCCGCTGCGACCAGCCCTGATGGCTGTGCTCAGCTGCCAGGCAGTGCCGCCAACACCAGCAAGGGAAGTTTGTTCCCTTCCAAGGCACTCACAGATGTGGAAGCCTCAGCTCCAAACAGTTTGCTGACTGCCTACAGCATTTTTTAAAAGAAGTCAGAGAGCCACCCTGGCTAGGAGCATGGAAAGCCCCACAATGTGTCACATTTGGGTCCAAGACTGCACTTCGTTTCCAACACCAGGCTTCAAGTGGTTCCCAGATGCTTGGCGGGCACACGGGGAATGGGGGTGAGAACTGCTGTGCCTGAGGAAGGCTGGCTCTTCATTTGGCCCACCACGTGAGGAGCCCAGACACGGAGGGGTGGTTTCAGTGGACGATTGTGCTCCAAAATGTTCATGGTGGTCTCCCTGATGTGGATCTCCCAGCTGCGCCCTGCAGGCGTGGGCAGCCGAGGGCCTCGCTGTGCCACCTCTGCTACTTGTGTCGTAAAGAAATCTCACTCCTTTTCTGCAACATGCCCAGTGTTTCAGCAGATGATGGTTGCAAACACCCTCCCTCCCTCCCTTTCCAACAGTTATTGCTCCCTTATCTAAAAGTGATTTTATGTTCATGTTAACGCCTCTTTGCCTAATTGGGCTTTTAGTGTTGGCTTTTTTTTTCCTTTAATGGTGGATTATTTCCCCATTCCCTTCCACCTCCTGGTGCTGGCACACACCACAGACCCGTGCACTAAGAATCCCGCGTTATCGCTTTGTTTTGGGCGTCTTTGTTCGCTTTTCAAAAAGTGGGCACAGGCTACGGAGCCCACCTGCTGCTTATTGCCTTGCCCAAAGCAGCAAACCCTTTGAGACGGAAACACAAACACGTATATCCATCTATATACACCACAAACACGCTAACAACGAGACACCGCTCCCCGTCTGGGGTTGGTTTTAGGAAGGGCCCGGAACGGCAGCGCCGCGGCCGCGTTTCTGAGGGGAGCGCCCGGGCGCGGCGCTTCCCGGCCCCCGGCAGAAGATGGCGGCGCCCAGCCCGCTGCTGGCCTGGTGCGTCCAGCACCTGCGCGGCGACTTCGGGCTGGACGTGGGCGAGGAGGTGGTGCGGTGAGGCAACCCCCCTTCGGCCTTTGGTGCTCCTGGGCTTCCTCCCTCTTTCTCCTCAGCCTCTGCAGCTGACACGAACGGGAAATGTTTGTTTTAGAGCCGCGCCGGGGGGTGGTGGTGGTGGTTTGGGTGTCCCTGGGAGGTGGCAGGGAGGGGAGAGGGGGAGTTATGTGGTGAACCAGGACCTTGTCGTTGTTTTATTTATTTATTTATTCTTATTTATTTATTCTCGTGTGCTGTATGAGAGGAAGCAATGTCTGAGTGAGAGTTGTTTATTATTTGGCAGAAGGGGCAGTGGCAATGTCAATTTGCCCAGGAAAGGGGGGAGAAAGAGCTCGTTCCCCCTCCCCTCCCATTTTTTTTTATTTTTCAGGGAAAGCCATAAGGGATTTCCCCAAGTGTCTGCCTCAGTATTTCTCTTAGAAAGCCTTTTCCTTACCATAAACTACGCAGAAACCTGTTATAAAGAGGAGAGATGCATATGCGACTAGTAGGACTTACAGGATCAGGCTGTGGGTTTCCTCAGAACCGAGCCCCCCTTACCCATTTCTCTGCCCCTTGCAGCTACATCTTGTCAATATCAGACGAGGACGAGATCCGGGAGTATGTCGTTGACCTCCTCCAGGGGACCGAGGGGAAGAAGAGTCGGTTTGTAGAAGAGCTGCTGTCCCGGTGGCGGAAATCCTCGCAGCTGCCTTCTGAGCCCTTACCGGCGTATCGGAAAAAGGATGGTGAGTGGTATGGGGAGGGAGGAATTGTAAAATCAAGTGAGCTTGCCTCGGTTATTCTGTTTATAGACAATTCTTTGCCATGAATGGCAGTGGCTGATCCTATTTGTGGAGTCAGTTTTCATTCCCCAGCTGGATGTGGGAGGTCAGGGACGTATTCCTCTTGCTGTCAGTTCCCGAGCCTTTCTTTGTGCTTACGGACTTCCAGAGACTTCAGAAGCACCTCGGGCTGGAGACCAAGCGAAAAAGGGGAAACGCAAAGGCAGGAACAAACAGGAAACACCTGCGTATGTGGAGCCAAGCGCACCTGTGGAGGAAGTAAAAACTCCCATCGACCTGGCCAAGGTGGGTGCAGCTGGCATGTAAGCACCGTCTGTGTGGGGCGGCGTGTCCCAGGGGGTGGTGAGGGGTGGTCACTCTGGTGCAGCGGCTCGATTCGAAGCTGACTGCAATCTGGACAGGCGGTGCTTGTACTCTGTGCGTCTGTCTGTCTGTCTCTAGGCATCTGGGGGTCTTTCACTGCCACAGGGCAGAGAAAAGATCTGGAAAGGGTGAGAGTGGAGTTCTGAAGGTTATGGAGTTAAGAAATCCACCACGTGGGTGAAATGTTATTTCTTGCTCAATTTAAAACTTGCCAGTCTCACCAAATAAAGCTCCAATTGACAGCTGACACATTTCTGGCTGCCAGGCTCCTGCTGCTGCAGAGAGAAGGCCTTGACTGCCAGGCAGAGGAACCTGAGAGCTGAGGCTGGGTTTGGTTTGGCAGTCCGGCTTGGCTGTTTCCCTCCTGAGACGCTGTTCGATTCCGTGGACAAATGGTTTGAAGTGTGCATAAATTCCAACAAAAGAACTTTCAAAATATGAGAATCCTGCAGTTTCCAGGCAGCACAAACCCGTGCAGCAAGTGTTCATTGCCTTTCTTTTTGTTAGTTAACACATTTTGTAGCATACTTGTTTTCCGTTCAGCAGGACTGTTTCTGAGTGTGAGCACATCAGTTGTGGAGATCTCTGAGGTCAAATTTTGTGGTATTTGCCCAGACTGAGTTTCTGGATTTTTATTTCTTCTGTAGAGGGCTTTGACCCAAGGCGTTACAGCTACTTGCTGGGAACCCGAGCTCCTTTCTTAGGTGGATCCAGCTGGAGAGCTGTGCTCCTGGTCTGTATCGAATGCAGCAGATCACCAGGTAGCTGTCTAAAGCATACGAGCGTGCTCTGTGGAAATAAGAGTGTGGAAGTGCGCGGCGATGGGCTTGCATTGTTAGATTTGCAGTGAGATTTAGTGTCCTTTGTGCCGCAAATGTCAAACGCGTTGTGCATCCCAAAGCTGAACCCTGTGATTTACCCAGGTGCAACCCTGCCACGAAGCTGTGGAGCATCATCCAAATCCTAAAAGCCAGGGCTGCACCTGACTAAATAGTGGAACTTAGTTATGTTTTTAAACTGGTGTTTTCGTAGTGGGGTAAGTGCATGTGCTTAAAATGTTTGTAGAGGTTAAAAAACAAAAACAAAACAAAAAAAAACTTTTTTTGGAACTGTGCAGTTAAAAATGGACGTTGATATGCCATTTCATTGCAGTTATCTTTTAACTTAGTAAAAACACTGAGAAAGCTCTGTCAAGGTTTGCTAGCCAAGGTTGCTTTATCTGCGTATGTTTCTTCTGGGCAGAGCTGGAGGAACTGGAAACATATTGTCTCCTTGTCTCTAAACCAGTAGTGTGGCTGAGAGCAGGGAGTGGAGGAAGCTGGTGAAAGCAGTCAGGACAAGAGGTGTCCTAAAGCCACAGCTCGGCGCCCTTGCTGGGAAAAGCGATGTGGGAGCTAGAGGCTGGGTCAGGGAGCGGGGCGATCCTCAAGCGTGCGGCGAGGAGGGAGGGAGTTGTTGTTCGGGTGTGAAAGAAACAGTTGTTCTGGATCCTAGAAATTCTCTTTTCTATCACTGAGAGGGGCAAAGAGATGCTGTGCTTGAGCTGCAAGAGGATTTTCAAGTGTCACAGATAGGGCAAGTAAAGGCTAGAGAGTGCATTTATGTAGGGGTGATGCTTGCTGAAATAGGCAAGGGCAGTAAGTCCTGGTTTTTCTTGGTCATGGCTAGTGTGTAATTCTTGGTTGAAACCAGTCTCAACTAGTGTTTTGAGATGGGTTTGTGCCTGCAGTCTGTTGGGCTTATTTTCAAAGCATCTGGTTTTGAGTATTGCCAGAAAAAAAACAGTAGCAGGATTGATGTGGCTTTGTTCTGTCCCTCTGGAATGATTTCTGCGCTGGATTAACTGCTCCAGACCTATTCGCTTCTCAGCTGATACCTGCTGGAGATGTCAGGTGGGTGGGGGAATGATTTATTTCTTTGATCAAGATGGAGAAGCTGAGGGAGAAAATAGAGAATTCCACTGTCGGGTTATTAATTCAGCCATCGTCTAAAGTATCTTACTTCATTTCTGATCAGGATTTCTCTGTTTCAGCCTAATCCAAACCTATATGTGTGGTCCCTGATTGCAACTCAGAGCAGTGAATTATAGCATCGCTGATGCCAAGTCATGAATGAGAAGACTTTTACATTGCAGCTAAAAACCCAAACGTGTAGGACATGGCAAACTTCTGCTTCAGTGGCTGTGCTGGGTGGAAAACATGAACAGTTCTTGCTGGTGAACTGGCTGTGAGGGAAGAGGTCCCACCTGCCAGCAACACCTCTGTTTCTGGGGACAGGCGTGCGCAGGACTTCACAGTTACAAAGAGGGGGTTGCTGTAATCTAAATAGCCCATGAGAGTGCGTGTCTGGGAGTAGCTGAGCTGCTGTTTGAAGCTGTGAAATACCAGAGGGTTGATAACACGAGGCCAGAGGGCAGGCAGCACACCTGCCATCTAGACCCAAGCAATTTCAGCTTTCGGAGGCAGCAAAGAGATCAAATGGGCCTGCAACATCCTCATGTCCTTGATTTGCTAAGAGCTCTTGGACCACTTCTGGCGGGTCTAAGCTTGCCTTTCAGTTGTCTTGATGTGAATCTGGGGCAGTTTCATTCCATTTAGGCGGAATAATGATTATCTGAGTCTCTCCAGCCTGCTCAAGTGTCAATGCTTGTCTCTTTGCTGCTGGTATTACAGTCTGAATACAGTTTGTTCATTTTATTTTTCCTTCTCAGGCACAGGAGAACAACGCTGGAGTCAGCAGCAGCAACAATTCCTGTAAGAAGAAGGCCAAATATGTCAGCCTGTATACCAAGGAAGGGCAAGACAGGCTGGCAGTCCTGATCCCCGGCCGTCACGCCTGCGAGTGCCTGGGCCAGAAGCACAAGCTCATCAACAACTGCTTGGTTTGCGGGCGCATTGTCTGTGAGCAGGAGGGCTCCGGACCCTGCTTGTTTTGTGGCTCGCTGGTTAGTAATGAAGTGTTTTGTTTTTGTTTTTTTTATTTGCCATGCCGGAATGCAGCGGGGTTTGCTCAGGGTTTTTAAATGGCGTGGGGCTGAATTAGCCTCTCCTCTCAGATCAAAGCTCCCTTAGCAGCGTGCTCCAAAATCTGAAGCTGTGCAGGAAAGAACCTGTACCATCTCCTTTCAGGGGAAGAAGAACCGTTGTGGTTTTAAGTCACTTTTGTGTTGGTTTTATGATGTGCGGCTTCAGAGAGTGGAGAGGTTGCCCTTATAATTTGCATCGCTTTGAAGCTTGCCTGATTTATGGCAGTCTCCTGTGCAGCAGTGCCCAAAACACTTGTGAGACTTCAACTGCTTCCTGGGCGCAGCCATGCTAGGCTTGTGAGGGAGAGAAGACGTGGCTGGGGTAATGTGCTGTTTCCTTCAGCACTTGTGATGTGTGCATCATTTGGGATGTCTCTTGTGTCCTGTATTGTGAGAGAGGGGGCAAGGTAAGGACTGCAGGCTCAGTAAGGTTAATTTCAGCAGGGAGGAAACATTGGTTGGATGAAGAAAACGTTAGAAATCAGATTTGTTGCTCTTTTCAAAGATCTGTTTTACTCCCAGTGGTCAACCAAGAGAAAAGGACCCATGAGTTAAACATAGTTTATCTGTTCATGGAAGCTCAGAGTGCATTTCTTGTCCTTTGAGAGACCCCAGCAGTGTGTCTGCCCACAGAACCAATTAAGGGCAGGCTGTACAGACTTCAGGGACTGTTTGTATTAAAGAGCAAGCTTTCAGGGTTCTGCCCATATAGATGATGCAGAAGGAGTAAAGGCATGGGCTATGTTAGCCACCTTAAACAGCTTTTTTCTGAACAATTGCCCTGAGCTCTGATGCTGGTCATGCATGCAACGTCCTTTCTAGTCTTTTTTCTTGTTGTTTGTTTTTTCCCCTTAGGTATGCACTAAAGAAGAGCAGGACATTCTTCAGCGGGACTCAAACAAGAGCCAGAAGCTGCTGAAGAAGCTCATGGCAGGTTAGTAGCAAGCTGTAAAGTAATAAATCCAATCCCTCGTGCAGCAGCAGGAGCCCTGCTGTGCTTTGCTCTGCTACTTGTTGGACTTGCCTTGACGTGAAGGAACGAGCGTCTGTGTCTTGGTGTATGAGGTGTTTAGATCTCTTCACCTGAGTTACAGAGAACTGCCAGCAAAACCGAAAGGAAATATTTTCTCATGAGCTGGCACCTCAATGTTTGTCTGGGACATAAATTGCCAGGACAGTCTGTGAGCTGTGTTTGCTTCAGGCTTCACCGAGCCACTTGCCCCCACTGCTGCTGGGTGTACAAGGGTAGCTGGGATGTTGGCTCGTTGTGTCCGCTCGGCAGCGTTTCTGGACTTCAGCGGAGGCGCTAAGTGCCAGTGTCAGATGGCAGCATATAACGTCCTTACCCAGAGGCCCCAGGGCTGCTTGTTAGGCATTCCTGAATCAATCATATGAACTGGATCGCTGCAGCAGTCCTTGAAAATGAGGATAAGTCCCATGTGGAATGTGTGCTGTGGAAGATGAAGTGCTGCTATCTGATTTGCTGGGTCTAGAGAGGTGTTGGTTAATATTTTCTAATGGCTTTTCTCATCTAACACTTATCTTGGGAGCTAAAAATAAGAACAGAGTCAAGGAAAGCAAAAGGAAATAATACCCAGTCTCCCAGCAAAGACCTGTGCGTTACGGGGATGTTTGTCTGAGTTTAGTTGAAATATAGCCAAGGTCACAATGTTCTTGGTTGAAAAATAAACTTTGCTGAGGAACTGGGGAAGTACTTACTTTGGGTCTCGGTGTCAATTTCTGAGTAGAGCTGCAGGAGGTCCTGTAAGTCCTCGGGAATAATAGCTGGTCAGAGTCAGTCTGTTTATAATCTTGCTGTAGAGAGCCTGTTGTGCTTCAGGATCCCACTTTCTTACATGTTTTATTGGCCTCCGCTTCTGCTCTGCTGGGCCTTGCTTTGTTACGTTATCTGTGTAGGTGAAGGCCGAAATGTGGATAGCTGTTTGGCTCAGGAGTGGAAAAATGGGGATTGGTGGAGATAGAGGAATACAGGCCTTTTGTTTCCCTGAAATAAAGGCGTTGTGCTGCGTGTTGCTTCTGTGAAATGCATTGGCTTGTTCCATTGTGGCTGTGAGGCAGACCTTCTCTCCTTTTGTTCGGTTGGTTGGGTTTTGGCTCCTTGCCAGAAATGGTAAGAAATAAGAGATCATTGCTGGGAATATATTTCTTCCTCTAACAATAGCCGGTCTCAAAAACCTGCTGAGGTGTATTGGGGGAGGATTTCATTTGTGAGAAGCTCATACAGCAGCAGATGCAAGGCTTGCTCTGTGCACAACTAGCGTTTGGCAGCGATCTATTGTGGCCAAGAGTCTCTTTGTAGCAGTAACAATGCTTAGGAGGTAATTTGGCCTGCGGTTGACAATGGGCAAAGTTTGCATTGACCAAATTGTTAGGGAAAGACTAACAGAGAATCAAAGACTAAGATTTTTCTCTCTAAACACTGCCTTGACATTGTTACTGGCATTCAAGTGCTTTCTCCTCCTTGGAGGAAGGAGTCTGTGAAAAGGGGCTAGAGGGAAAATCAAAACCTGGTTTAGAAAGGTGCCGATCTCGGTGCCTCTTTTCGTTCCTTGAATGGCATTTGTTTTAGGGGGCATTTCTGCAGCCAGCCCCGCCAAGACCAGACTTTAAACAAGTATCCTGTCCCTGAATATCGAACTGTGATTTATTTTCTCTCTCAGGTGCTGAAAATTCAGGGAATTTGGATGCCATAAGCAAAGACTTACTGCCTCGGCAAGAAGCTAGATTCAAAGCAGGCCTGGAGATGGCTGTGAAACACAAAGACAAGTTGTTGGAGTTTGACAGGACAAGGTAAGGTACTAGCTGTGACTAGGGTGAAATAAATTATCTGGCAGGCAAAGCTGTCTCTAACAGAAAGGTTATGGAGTTCCTTCCGTAATACAAAACCTGGGCAGTAGCTACCAACACCTTAACATTGGACTTTGGCGTTCACATTCACTGAAACAAAAGTGAGCCCCTGAAATGTGTCCTGTTTGGATTTCCTTGTGCTGTGCCCGTGACAGTCCAGCTCTCTGGAGGGAGCAGGTAGAAGGGAAGCTTCGGGGCAGGCAGCACTGCATGCCTGTCCTGCTGTGCTGATCTACCGTCGCATTTGTTTCTTGCCAGCGTGCGTCGAACCCAGGTCATTGACGATGAATCGGATTATTTTGCTACGGACTCCAACCAGTGGCTGTCCAAGCAAGAAAGGGAGGCCCTCCAGAAGAGAGAGCAGGAGCTGCGGGAGCTGCGCCACGCCTCCCGGCTTGCCAGAAAAATCACCATCGACTTTGCTGGTAGACAGATCCTGGAGGAGGACAGCGGGATGGCTGAATACCACAGCAAGTGAGTGAGAACTGGCAGCACAAAGGCATGTCTCAGAGCAGGGAGGTGAAAATCGTTACAGAGGGGGGTCTGGCTGAATCCAGATGAGCAAGTGTAAGGAAAGCTGAGCATGCCATTCTCTTAAAGGGCACCTCTCATGCTAGGATGCACGCCTCCATTCTCTTCTTTTCGAGGGTCTCTTTGACTTGCAATGTCTCTCTTCCAGCACAGGTCTGCTGAGATGCCCACCTGTGTGAGACTTGCACAGAGCTGGCATTGTTAAAAATAAATACAAAATAAATGCTCTGGAAAGAGATGTTGCAGGACTATCTCACCAGAACCGAGTAGTCAAAGTTTCCAACCAGGCTGAGTTTCTGTGGTAGATAAGACTGGCTGCTCAAATTAAGCAAGGAAATGATCAATTTAGGGGAGGTGGTAAAAAAATAAAAAATAAAAAAATAAATGAAAAAAAAATATATATATATATAAATACAAAAATTGAAATAAATGTCTTGGGTCAGAATTGCTTGCACAGGGAGGAGGGGGATGTTGCCAGAGGGAAGCAGGGAATTCTCATGCCTCTTGTTTGTGTTTGCAGACTGGATGAAACCATTGAAGCCATTAATAGTGGCACACTGAGCAAGCCAGCTGGGAGCCCAGAAGCAAAGATGACTCCGAATTCTGGTGTTTTAGTGAATCCCCGTCTTCTTCAGCCTGCTCCTTTGGTCAGTATGGGATGAATGTTTTACACCAGAGAGCTGGCTAATTCTGGGAGAGCTGAGCTTAAGAACTGTGAATTCTAGCATGTCTGTAGTAGCTCCTCAGTCCTCCCCTGTCTCAGAGATCCTCATTCTCCATCTGAGTTGGAGATAGAAGTTTGCCAGTGCCCTACTCTGTTCCCAGCTCTTGAGAGATTTGGTTTATCTGGGTTTTAGTCTCCTGCCTCCTCTTCAGGAATTTGGAAGAATTCCTAAGGCAGCGTCACTTTGCAGCTCTATTAATGAGGCCTTTTCTGCCATATTTCCAGTTCTCAATGGGCATAATCTCTAGCCTCAATTCCACTTCCATCATGACATGATGGGTATGTGCTAAGCATTTTGGAAGTTGGATGATTACCAGTTTTAGGTGTTGTCAGCTGCAATTATGCTTTTTTGTATCTTCCTATGAATACTTTGAGACACCAGCATGCATCTTTTTCCTTTAAATCCATAATTTAGCTGCAGTGAATAGAAAGGAAGAGCCACACAGTGGATTCACTACCTTGCTTTTCCTACTGCCAAAGTGTGGCGTGTAAGTGCAGCATTCTGCTTGTAAGGAAGAAAGAATGATCCCTGTAAGAATATTAGCACTGTCCTTAAGCAAAGGGAAACATCAAATACTATTTGCACTTGATATCTATATCCATTGTTACTAGAGAGGTACTAACCTTTTTCTTATTTATTTTGAACACTGAAGTGGGTGGACCAAACTGGTTTGCTCCCACACAGGAAAGCCGTGCGGTCTGTGGATGCTGGAGATGAGCTTGGCTCGGAGCGGAACAGGTTGCGGATTCAGGATCGAGAGTTACAGGAGATCTCAGACGATGGCTGGTGCCTCAGCATGCACCAGCCTTGGGCGTCCTTGCTCATAAGAGGAATCAAAAGGTAAAGGGGTGGCGTGAACTGTGGCTTACCCTGACCAGCTCTTGCTTCATGTCTTGCAAGATGGGAAGTTCCTCAGAGAACCTTTGCAGACTCGCTTTGTACAGTGACTGTACAGAGCTGGTTTTTGCCAGCTGTTAATCCACGGGCTTATCTAGCACTCTAATTCGAAACATTCCTTTTCTTGAGAGGAAAATAACTGTGAGGGGTGTGTAAAACGCAAAGCTGTGCACATACGGGAAGTCTGTGCAGTGTACTGGTGGTTGGAGAAGGCTGGTGAATCTGTTTTTCATGAAAGTAGCTAAGCTGGAAGGTAGAAGCTTCTTATATAGGGTAAATTTAGAGAGAGGCTGAGGTTTCTGGAGTATAGTCAGGGCATACCTGTCTGTGACTTGAAAGATCAATAAGATGAAAATCCGGTCTTTTTGTCCATCGTAAATGAGCTGATAGTGGCACTGACTTCTGTTACAGAAAACAATCAAAAAAACAACAAAAACCAACACCCCACATCTTGCTATCACCTTTCCCCTCTGGCCTCGGAATCAGATTCCAAAGAGAAGCTCCTTCAACCTGACATCTCTGGCATGTTAACTCGCCTTTCCTGCCATTAATGTAGAACAAGAATTCTTCTTTAGTCTTTATTCTCCTTTCCTTCAAAGAATGTTTCATGTTAGAGAGCAAAGCGTTTTCACTTCTCCAGCTGAAGATGCCAAAAATTATAGCTGCATCGAGGTGGGCTGGGGATGCTGTCAGCTGCTCTGATACAGCCGCAGCCTTGATGTCGAGTGCCCGTGCTGGGATCTCCGAGAGCCGCTGCTAACGACTTCTTCATACGGCTGTGTGGTCCTTTATTAGTCCCTAGACTGCATGTTCACTGCGCGTAACTTTTGGAGCTTGAAAGCAAATTGTACGAGCAGATTGTCCTGCTCGCATCCGACATGCTGTTGTATTTGCAAGGGATTGATGTCCCTTCTTGCTGTTACTCTCAAGGAATGAGGACATGCTCTGCTTGTGGCATTATTTCTTGCCCCTCTCAGCTTTTCTCTGTAGAGCTGACGAGTTGCTTGAGGTCTATATAGTCAGGGCAATGCTTAGCAACAGGAATTACATAGAGAAGCTATAGATTGAAAATCTGTCCGTGTGGGATTTCTGTTGAAATTTAAGTCCTAAATTCTCCTTTGTTCTCTAGGGTGGAGGGCAGGACCTGGTACACATCTCATAGAGGGCGGTTATGGATTGCAGCCACTGCTAAAAGACCTTCCCCTCAGGAGATCTCTGAACTGGAGACCACCTACAGAATGCTGCTCCGGAAAGGTGAACTTCTCTCCTTGGATCTTTGTATTATTTGGTACATTGAGCCACGTAATGAGCAGTGTCAGAAAGCCCTCTCTGCTGAGCAGTTATTACTGCTTCACTTTTTAACCTTCTGTTCTTGAAATTCTCTTCATCCTTTCTGCATTTCATCAGCTGAATGTGTACGGCAGCAGAATTTAACTCGTCCTTAGACTGGTCAGATTTTCCAAGCACAAACACTGACAAATTGCACCTGACTTCCGTGGTAACTTTTGACAGCAAAGGACTTTATTTTATCCTGGGCTCACGCAATAAGATACTGAGTGTGTGCTTGTTTGTGCGTGAAGTGGCTTGTGCTTCAGTCTGTTCCCAGTGATGTTAAAGGCTTTTCATGTGTTCTGACCTTGTGGGAATCAGGATGGAAAAGCTGCAGGTTACCGTGGTGCTATTCTCTCACGTGGGCAGGTGAATGCGGGTGGCTGCACTGCACGCCTGTTTGTGCAGTGCTCCTTTCTCAGAAGCTAAGCAGAGAAGGTTGTGTGTGTAATTCTTTCTCCCAGCCCTCATCCTGTCATGGTGAGGATCCTAAGCTTCATTCTGTTCTCGACCCTTCCTCTTCATTTGCTTCAATGTGCAAGTTTACTTTGTGAAACCTCTTGCTGTGCTTGGAAGCAAATGAGTGGGTCTGCGTGGATGTTTGGCTGTTGTTGTCTGTGGGCTGATGGGGCGGATTGATCCCTTAAGACCCCCCCCCCGAGCTATCAGACAGACTGGTAAAATGGAGCTTGAGAGCAGGGCACTCTGAAAACCCCCAGCCTGGCACATGCCAGGCTCAGGATGTGTGAGGAGAGCTGTGCACACCCTTTAATTCTATCAGCACATGTGGCTTATGACAGAGCCCTAGTGCTAGGCCATCCTGGCAGCGTGCTCTTTCTCCTCCAAAAATGGAAAAAAAGAGCTACAAGATATTAAAATCGCTTTCTCTTGTGCTTCAGAAAGTACAAGTGCACGGGGGGAGTGAAGGGCACCTGGGGATTGGAAGGACCCCAGCTATGTGTGTATGGATGTGGAGCCCTTAAAAGATGTTTCTTTTGATGCAGATGTGGAATTTCCAAGCGATTATCCCTCGGGGTGCCTCCTAGGCTGCGTGGACATAACTGATTGTTTATCACAAGAGCAGTTTAATGAGCAGGTAAGTACAGCAAACAGACCTTTACAAGCCTGCAATAGCAGCAAGCTTTTCAAGTAGTGTAACTTGCGTCTGTGAGATGCTCTGGAGAAGGTGGTGAATAAAAATCTTAAAGCGCAATGAGAGAAGACGCTGCTACCACGCAGTCCTGTGTGGATAACCAGCGGCTGTGCAAGGTAATGTGTCTCAGCAGCTCTGGAAGGGTGTGGGGGACTAATAAAGACTCAGTCTCTGGCCAGCCTTTCTGGGTTGGAACTAGTGTCTCACCTACTGTGACACTCTTTTCAAAAAGGACTTGTAGCTGTTTAATTAAACCAATGCTAGCTTGAGAGACCGTGCTGCAGTGGCTCTTGGCAGCTGTTGCTTCCCTTGCTGCGTGGACAGATGTGCCCCAGAATGCTGCGGCTGTGAGGAACTGTGGAAAACGGGCATGCATTAATGTATTTCTGTTTTTTATCCTCGTCTGGCAAATTCGGGGAGCTGACATCTCACGTGGATGCGACTTCTTCTAAAGCACCGATTGTTTCTCTTAACAAACTTCATGGGATCCTGACAGGAAGAATGGCTCAAAGTCTTGCCTAGCCAGGCAGGATAACTGTGCTGATCTTCCTATCCTGGGGAGGACTCTGCACTAGGGTCAGGTACCTGTCTGGCTGGTTTTGGAGGACAGCAAACCACTCCCTGAGTGTGGACAGCAGAGATTGCAGTTACTGCAGTGATTTGTCGACATCCTGAGCCCCTGGGTGCAGTGAAGGGGGGAAGTTGGAGAATCCAGTGGGTCAAGACACTCAAGGGAGGTTTAAGTGGGGCTTCTGCTGAATGAAGCAGGTGATTTGGTGACCAGGGACACAAGTACGGTTGAGGCTTCTGCAACGAGGTCTCCCCAGGATCTTATCCCTAGTGGCAAGGTTCAAGGAGAACAGCAGCTACCCATAGTGCAGGGGTGTTGTTAGGAATGTCTCAAAATCTCAGCCTGTACAGGTCGGTGGGCGCTGATGGTGCGCATCCAAAATTGCTAAGAGAGTTGGCAGATGCTTTTCTGAGGCCACTCTGATCTTTGAAAGGTTGTGGAGATCAGAAGAGGACCCCAATACCTGGAGAAAGGTGAATATTACATCCATTTTTATAAGGGGCAAGAGGGATGATCCCAGGCACTTCAGGCCTGCCAACATCACTTCGGTCCTTTGAAATTGCTAGAGCTCTTGTAATGGCTCCTGGAAGCCATTTTGGAGCACACGAAAGAGACTGGGAATAGCCAGTGTTGATTTACCTAGGGTAAGTCATGCTTCATTAATCTGGCTGCCTTCTATGGGCAAACAGAGCAGTGTATGTCTCCAGCTCTGCATTTAGCAGGGCTGTCTGTGGGATCCGCTGCAATGGGATTGTATCCGAGATGAGCCATTACAGCCTGGGGAGGTGGACTGGTTAAAAACTGGCTGGGCCGTTCAGCTCCAGGTGTGGCGGTGGTTGGCTTGTAACCTCCCTGGAGGCAAGCTGCAGGTGCTGTTCCTTGGGTTTGTTCCTCAAACCTCCTGTTTAATGGATTTAGCAGTGGCCTGGAGGGTAAAGGGGAGTTCTGGAACTAGCAGCACCCTGGGCTGCATCAGCAGCAGGGTTACGGCCCTCAGAAGTGATCATTCCCTGTGCTCAGCATCATTTAAACCACACCTGGATTGCTGTGCTTATAAAGCAGGCCGATAAACTGAAGTGAGTCCAGTGGAGGCTTCCGAGGTGGACAGGGGCTGGAGCACGCACCCTGTGAGGATGGGCTGAGGAAGAAGACTTTGTAGAGACCTTCTACTGCCTACCAGGAGCTTACCGAGGAACAGAGCCAGGCTCTTTCCTGATGTATGTGGCAGGAGGATGAGGGCAGAGGTTGTAAATTGGAAGATGAGGTTTCAGTGTGACTTAAGACACCATATTTCCCCATGAGAGCAGGCCTTGCCCAGAGAGGTTGTGCAGTTTCCACCCTTGGAGGTTTCCAAGACCCGGCAGGACAAAGCCTTGAGCGACCTCGCTTGAATTCAGTGTTGACCTTGCTTTGATCAGGGGGTCCAGAGGCCTCCTGGGCTCTGAGTCTGTTCTGTGATGCTGTGACTTGCCTCCATGCCCCAAAAATGGAGCAGCTGCTTTCCTCAGGCTGCATTTTATTAGCTTACAAAGCCTGTGCTCAGTGCCACGCACGGCAGGGCTGCTCTCGATACTGCATCGTGTCTGTTCATTCCACTGCCCCGGTACAGCTCAGGTTGGTCTGATGGGAGTCACCAGACACCGGCATGTAGGGCTTGGTAGTGAACAAGACTGGCTTCTGAGAAAGAATAAATGGATTATTTGGGCCAGAGGAGGAGAACACACCGGGCTGGTGGGTGCCTTCTAGCCATGAAGAGTTGGAGAGGCATCAGTGGTTGGGGGCTGTTCCTCGTGAAGTGCTTTTCTGGCCTTCCCAGATCCCGTGAGGTTTTGTCAAGCAGAATTTAGGAGAGATGCCTGGGAACTACAGATGAAGAGAATATTACTGATGAGGCTGCATCTCTGTTCATTCAGGGGCAGTTTTCTCAGGAAGGGGGAGAGGTTAGAGTACGAGCAGCAGAGGGAGCATTGGGACTGGATTACAACAATCTGCACATATGTGGCCTTTGTATGGGAGCAAACCTTGGCAGAGAGAAGAGGAAAGGACACTGGGGTCAGTATAGGATTTTTTTCCCCCTGTATCATGCACAATCAACCCCCATCCTTCCTCTTCCTTCATGAGTTTATTCTTTAGGCATTGGTAAAATGGCAGCCACAGCTTCGTAAAATCTTGAAATCAAACTATAGGTAACTAGTCTTTACTGTTCCCACAGAGAAAACTCGCAATAAATAATGTTCCCTATAAATTCCTCCTAGTTCGCTGACACCATTTGGCTGCAGAGGTAGTAGGAGACGAGTAGCATGTTCCAGGAGCGCTGTTACGAGGCCTACAGGCAAGAGATTTTCTTCTCTCCTTGGTGCCACAAAGCCATGGCACGTGCAGGTTTATATCTCACCAGCTTTTTGCTGCTCCTGTACTGCAAGATTTTTATAATTCCTATTTTGTTGTCTTCTTTGGGTGCTTTTGTAAATCTTTTTTCCAGGCTCGCTATATGCAGCGTTCACTTCTCTGGCTTGTAAGATTGAATTTGGAGATGTGAGCATCCTTCTGAAGTGGGTTTTTGAGAAAATGTGTGTGTTTTTGGAGTAGCATGAGCAGCAAGTGCATCTGAAAGAAGCTGAGATTAATTTAATTGCAAGTGCTAGCAAGATGAAAATGTGTGCAGCGCCAACTCAGAAATCCGAGTTGGATTTCGCTGGGAGCAGGAAATCCCTGTTGATCACACTGATGATTCAGCTGAGGTTCATCAGCAAGCAGCACCAAAGCCACTTGTCAGCAGCATAATCCAGCAATTTCTTGTGTACGAAGACTCCTCCGAGCTCCTGGGGGAGCAGGAAAGGAGAACGTTTTTTTTCCCCCACTTACAGCACGCAGAAACACTGCCAATTTTCTGCAGACCCGCAGTATGTTAGCGGGTAAGTGCCGTGGTGCAGCAGCAGAGACCTCTCGGAGATGAAGCCACAGCAGAGCGCTTTTCAGGCGCTGTGCTTAGGCTCACACCTCTCCTCTTTGCCAACTTTCATGTGAAGCTTCTGCGTCTTCCAGAAGAAACCATTTCACAAGTACAGGGCAAACCACATTTGTGGATTATACCCACCAGCTGAAGATGAAATAGTTTCCTGTCGTGCTCATTGTCTGGTGATGGTGGCCCTGCCTTTTTCAGCAGCCGCAGGACTTGGTTTTGACTCTTATGACCGTTCTTTCCCATAAGCAAAGGAGACGTTTCCTGGTCTGTCCCTCCTCTGACTTCTCTGTTATTTCTCTGTCCTTTTGATGCTGTCATCCGCTCCCTGTTTAGTACCATCTGCAGATTTAATTTCCTTGCTGTTTGCGTCCTCTGTCAGGTTGTTAATGAAGATGTTAGTGGCACCCTGCTGGTATTTTTCTATCATTATCATCGTTTAATATTTTTTTACACTTTGCTCAAAAACCAGAATCAAGCAATGGTGCCTCTTTTCACAGAAGGCTGCGCCAACAGAGTCAGACCAAATCCCTGCCCTGAGAGCTTGCCTTATTATTAGGGACTGGTTGTTTATCCGCATTATTACCGGACACGCACGTCTGGCCTCGCGTAACCCCTTTGGAGGGGTCTGCCCTGCAGCTCTGCCCTGTGCACAGCGTTTGAAGGCAGATTGACTTTGCTGAAGTGCTCCGCAGATCTGCAGGGCTGTGCGAAAAGTGATGACAGAACAAGATCTCATACGCAGTAGCTGGCAGGGAGCAGAGGAAGATGTTTTCTGAGGAGAGATGTCCTTGTGATTAAAGTCAGCATCATGTCAGATGACATTGCCCTAATCCCAGTTGTGCTACTTACTGTGTGGACTACTTAAATCAGTTCCTCTGGGTGCCTTTCCCGCGTGTAAAATAAAATACTGCTTCCCTGTCGGAGATTACATACACCTAATTTTTGTAGCTCGAAGCTGTGCTCTGATCTTTGGATAGAGGCTGCTCTGGGAGCCCAAGCTGTTACCGAGTAGGAAAGTCCACCCAGGGCACTCGGGGTAGCTTTGTGCACGGGGGAGTGGAGCAAAAGCTGCTTTCCGATTCCAGCCCGCTGCTGAGGGCGGTTGGTTAGCTGGTGCCAGGAGATCCTCTGTGTGGCTCTTAAATCTCAGTATTTCCAGTGGAGCTTTAGACATCTCGCACCTCCTCGGAGTGCCTTCTGGACTCATTTCTGAACTCATTTCCTCCTATTAATGGCAGCCACCCAAAAAGCGTTGCTTCAGATCAGAATGATCCCTTTGTTACGCTGCTCGGCGCGAAAGGTGACCTGGAAACTTTTCCCCTGTCAAGATCGGAGCGTTAACGACCGCTTTTCCTTGCTGTGGGCTGACGTCACCCACACCTCGAGCAGAGCAAGGAGCTGCCTTTC